CCTCGCTCAGCCAGTGAGCGGGAACCGGTCTGCATATGGGATCCGAACCCTCGGACGGGAGCGCCGCTGCGCTTCCCAAGCGGCGCACTATCCATTGCGCCACTGGGCCGGCCCAGGATTTGTATTATCTTTTAATTCCATTTTCCACGAACTTTTTGAAGTACCCTCGTAGATTAGGGGTCAGGAATGATGGTGAGATCATTGCTAAAAACTATGAAACTGTCTAGACTTTGTGCTCTCAGAATTGAGGACTCATACCCTTTGAGATAGAATATAAGATGTATAACTCTAAATTATTTGCTTACTGGGCAATCCAGAAGTCAGTTTATTTCTTTATATAGGGAGAGATGTCTTCCATTAGGGACTTGCCTATGAAATTAGAAATGAAGAACAGCCAGTCTCTGACTTCATGGTTCAACTTAATGATTTTTCAACCTTACCATGATGCAAAACCACCACAATTTCAACTTAATATATAGGATTCAATAAATTACTGAGATGTTCAACACTTTATTATAAAATAGGCTTTGTGTTTTTACTCAACTGTAGGTTAATGTAAGTGTTCTGAGCACTTTAAGGTAGGCTAGGCTAAGCTGTGATGTTGTATAGGTTAGGTGCATTAAATAAACTTTTGACTTATGATACTTTCAATTTATGATGGGTTTATTGGTACATAACCCCGTTGTATATTGAAGAACATCTGTATATCCATCAAACGTTAAACTCTCCAATGAGCCCACTTCTGTACCAGGTGTAGAAATACAAGTTTAGAGATTTCCTGAATAATTTAGAGACTAAGCCAATTTGTCCTGATTCTGCTTTTGTTGGAGACTCTGCTACTTACTAGTTGTGTAACCTTAGCCAAGCAACTCAATCTCTCTGTGCCTCAGTTTCCTCATCTATAAAATGGGGATAATAATAGTACCTACTTGAATACATATGAAGCTGAAATGAGTTAGGTTGTAACTGAGAATAATGCATGACATATGGTGAGCACTACATAATATTAATGAAAAACACACAAGCAAATCTCCAGTTCCAGTTTATGAATTAATTGTTTTTATTCCAGTTCCATTCCTGCCACATGTCCTTAACTAGGTTCTTATTTGCCAGTTGATGGTACAGCACAGTACAGCTTGTTTTAGGACCTGAGACCCATTAGTTGGAGAGACTGGTAAATGTGGAAGTTATTAGATTTGGATTTTGCCTCCAACTAAAATAGGAAGAGGATACACTGGTTCGCACAGTTTGATCACTGACTGTATTGAAGTCATCTGTGGTCCACTGAGAGCAGGAAGCTAATCTTATCCGTCTTTGCATCTCCCCTCGTTCCTTGCTGGTGCCTTGCTTATAGCATTTTTCTAAGAAATGTGTCTCAGATGGCTTAGCTGAATCTGTGGTCCACTGAGAGCAGGAAGCTAATCTTATCCGTCTTTGCATCTCCCCTCATTCCTTGCTGGTGCCTTGCTTATAGCATTTTTCTAAGAAATGTGTCTCAGATGGCTTAGCTGCACTCACAGACTCAGAATGCAAACTGAGCTTGCAATTGCCTACATTTCAAATATTTGTTCCTGCTATAGAGAGAGAGGTGGTTTGTTTGTTTTGTTTTGTTTTTTAAACACAAACCTCACATTCGTTTCCTATGAATTACCCACATGTCCTTAATCAGGAACTTGAATCAAACATTTTGCCTGTTTCAGTGAATGACTGGGGGCTCAGAGGATGCCGTGGGGGTCACATAGTCGCCTCATGTACACCTGCGTTGTGTCATGAGTCACAGGGACTTTAGCACGTCTCCACGTGGTAAGTTGGTGAAGAACATAGAAGCCAACTTAGATTTGATTACGATGTGTTTTTAACACTTACGTGTGACAGTGGATGTCCTTTCATCCTCCTCTGAAGTCTGCAGCACAGTGGGTTTGCTTATTACATGTTTGCTTTTTACATTCATTCCTTTCCAGACTTTTGCTTGACTCTTGGGTGCTGGCTTTTAAATTCCTCCTTGATTTGTTAATTTCTTCCTTTCTGTAAAAGACCTCAAAGTCTGGCGCACAGATCCTGGCTCCATCTTCGACGTTGATCCCCTGGAAGACAATATTCAATCTAGAAGTCTACATATGCTCTCTGGTATTGCTTACCTTTGAAATTCCTCCCTGTTTACATGGTTTTGTCCCCAAAGTGAAGCTACTGTGAGCTGTAGGGGTTCCTTGTGGCAACTCTGTAATGTAAATTTTAAAGTTGAGAATTTGAGAAACCAAAAATGTGCTATGCTACTTTAAAATACCATTAATCATTTATGAAAATAAATGCAAAAGGGCTTTTTAATATATCCTATATTAGTTTGTTCTGGATTCATTTAAAAAGGTGTCAGAGCTTACTTATATCTGCTTTTTATTAACAATTATGATTTTATAGGCTTTCTGGGTTTACAAAATGCAATTATTTGGATTGCACTAAGGTGCTGAGACGAAAAGGAGATTTGTTTCATGAAATATACTGTTGCAGTATTTTAAAGACAGATTTAAAGAATTATATATAGAACAGTTGAAATGTTTTCTGCGTAGCATTGTAAATGTCTTAAAATAAAATAGACTTTTAAGTATCCTTAAAATTTATCTCTGAATTTTTATATAATGTAAAATGAATAAGTAACATAGGAAACTTATTTACCTTTTAACTTAGATTGCATGTTTATAATTAAAGGCAAAAATGAATGGTTCAGATATGGTGATAGAATGATCTGACATTTCAGACTTTCAGGCCATGTTTGGCAAACATTCTGAAGAAGCTTTGACAGTTCTGCAGTTATTTTAAGCAATATGAATAGATATGTAATTTAGATATATCATATAATTTAGGTGTTGTTTGACACTCTGATTTCTACTCTATATTTAATTGTTGTTATTAATAAAATTGAATGCCCAAGGCAAAGTAGGGATTCTAATACTTTTATAGGCAATTTGATCCACATAGCCAAACCCTGTCATTTAATTTTCTAAATATAAAGTCAATGAATACTGTATACCTGGTGATATTTGAAAGGAATTACTTGTAACCTGGCAGTATGTTTGATAGAAATTTATTAGTTTGCCACGGTTTTCCTTTTTGTCAATTTCCCATCTCTCCTTATAAAACCTAGATTTAAAATGAGTACAGATGACCTTTTAGTCATTTACATAGCTGATCAATACTTATTGAAATTTGGGAATGGGTAACTAGAATATTATAATAACTGAGATGTTGGATTAGTATTTAATAAGGGATTGTTGTCCTGCTCTATTAAACTTATAAATAACTTTTGTTTCTTTTGTTCTTCAAGTCACTTAATCACAAGTATAAATATTTTCCCTTCGATATAGAAAAGGCGAGTCACTATAGGAGATACCGGTCTCGATCTCATTCCAGCAGTACTTTTGGCACAGGTCTGGGAGATGACAAGTCAGAAATCTCCGAGATTTACCCTAGCTTTTCCTGCTGCAGTGAGGTAACACGACCATCTGATGAAGGAGGTATCAAACATTGATCACTTACAAAGAAAATTAATTAATTTTTAAAAGTGTCACATGAGTGCATTTAACAGATTTTTCACCTTTGCACAAACATTTAGCTTGGGTGTGTTTGGAAATTTTAAACTGAGTTTAGAAAGTGAATCGCCCTTTTTAAAAAATTACTAATTTCCTTTTTTGCATGCTATTTTTTTTTTTTTTTTACTGTCTTCACTATAGTCACTGCACTTATATCTGTAATAACAAAAAAAGTCTTGGGATTTGCTGTGTGAGTGTATTTCATGGGAGTTATATGTGATGGCTACACTTACTCATAATAAAAACAAGTTCTGCGGAGTTTGTATCTGATTTCCACTAGGGAGAAAATCAATCTTTTTTCTGCTGTTATTATCATATTACTATTTTTTTCTTTTTTTAAAATTGAAGCATAATCGATTATACGTACTTATGGGGTACAGAGTTGACTATCAGTATTTGTGTACAGTACGTTATGATCAAATCAATGTTATTAGCATGTTCATCATTACAAATCATGATTATTCTTTGTGTCCCTTACCCAACTTCTCCTTAATCCCCTTCCTTTCCCCCTTTCCCACCTCTGGTAACTATAGGTCTGTTCTCTCCTTCTGAAAGTTTAACGTTTTGTTGTGGTCTTTCTTTCTTTCTTCCTTTCTTTCAGAAAAAATCAACCTTACCATGATATTTGAGTGGCTAAAAGGTTTCTATGCTATGAATTTGTGTATGTTTAAATATTGATATAAATTTGAGGAGTTAGATCTTGCCAAAAAGAAATTGGGTATATTACTTGTGATATGAGATTTGCTTTAATGGAAAATGCTGTTGATTGTTAATAATCTTCTCTCTATTTTATAAACTCATTCTTTTCTTGTACCTTCTCTTGTTTTCTGTATCCAAGCTGGTGGGTCAGGGCTAGAACATGTAGTGATTTTCTTTAGGGTGTAAAAACTAATCCTGCTGATGAGGCTTTTCTTAAAGATTAAGACTAGAACGATCCCCCTCCTCATTCCACTTACATTTTAGTGCAGAGAGGATGGGAGAACCAAAGGAATATTGAATTTTCTTTTCAATCACAAAGGTCATATTGGTGAAATCCCTAAGGCAGGAAATTTTGAGATTGAGCAATTTAACACTTTAGGGAAAAAAATTGACAAGATGCTGAAACTACGAAAGCTTTTGTAATTGTGTAATTGTTTTTTGCATTCATGACAATAAAACATTAATGAGAATAAAATCAAATTATTTCCTTTTCATCTTCAACTACAAATTCAGACTGGCCTTAACTTGGTGGAAAGTTCTTAAGGGTCTCCTTTCTCTATAATTCTAAAGAAATGATTGTAAACTAGCTTTGCTTTATTATAGACAAAACATACATGAGGCGAGCTCCCCTATCTGTGTCTGGTTCACTTATGAAAGATCCAATATCTTCCTGATTTCTTTTTCCAACTTGGGGTTACTGATTTCTTCCTTCAGTGTCCTTCATGTTCTGGAGGCACAGAATAATGTTAATGTTTGCTGAGATAAATAAAACCCAAAGTAAATACAAGCACTAATTTTGATCAACCTTATTTAACATGACTTGTTCAGTGTCCTGGAGTTGCTGTCTCCCCCAAATGCAATGTACCACAGAGCCTTTGCTTCAGCAACGACCCTTTTACTTCATGTCTGTACACACCAACACAGCATTTATTTGTTTAGTTACCAGATGTTTATTGAGTGCTCTTTGTGCACCAGCCAAAAGCTTGCACCTGGCTGTGTAAACAGCAGTGAGCAAAAGCAGCACGCATCTGCTATAACGGAGGTAGAGTCTGGTGGTGGTGGGGGAGCTGATTTAAGCAGACACTTACATAGTAATAGATAATTATGAACAGAGTCAGGGTTAGGAGGGGATGGAATGGGGGCTACAAGATGCTAAAAGGTCAATTCCACATTGGCCTGGATGTCTGGAAAGGGATGTCTGAGTTGAGATGTGAATGCTGATGGAAGTTAACTGGGCAAAGGGGCTTTGGGAGAAAAGGGTTTCTGATAGAACCTAGCACTGCACTGGTGTGTCACTGAAACATTCAAATGCAGGCAGCGAGTAGGCAATTAGAGGTCAGTGTGGGAAGCTGCATGGGAGATAAATGTGGGAGTCACCATTCAAGATGATGAAAAGGTCTTGGATGAATCAGGCTCTGCCCAGATCCATTGGTCTCATTACTTTTCTTCCAAGGCTACAAAACCCCACTGCAGGTAGCTTATCTCCTCTTCCTTTTCTCAAGCCAACACTCCTTCTTTTTTCTAATTATTTCTAGCAAGGGCACCCCACAGTAAACCAAACTGAGTGAGAACATGTCTGCACTGAAAAAAGATGTAGGTAAATATTCTTGCATTTATACTAGAGTTTGAATAATAGTAACACATGGTTAAGAGGGAATAATTATGTTGTTTTTAAATGGGGGGATTTTAGACTCCAGGGAAGGTGGCTGTGGGGAGATTTTGGGAGGTAGCGATGGCTCAGTGACTCAAAAAATGCCTTGTAAGAAAAAGTTGACTCTTTGGAGGCATTTTTAAACTTCTATTTTAAACTTCTATTTTGACCTGTTATGAGGCCAAGATGCTCTGTATTTAGGGACATTTCCTGTTTTGGAAAATTGATAATGAGGTATGAAGCAAAAGTTAAGATGTACCAATAAGTTTCATAACATAAACTCAAGGAAACTTCTATTTTGACCTGTTATGAGGCCAAGATGCTCTGTATTTAGGGACATTTCCTGTTTTGGAAAATTGATAATCTCAGCCACCTGTTATGAGGCCAAGATGCTCTGTATTTAGGGACATTTCCTGTTTTGGAAAATTGATAATGAGGTATGAAGCAAAAGTTAAGATGTACCAATAAGTTTCATAACATAAACTCAAGGGATGGAATACCCACAGGAAATCTGCGTTCATTTGAAAAGACTGCAGGCTACATGGCAATATGCTAATTTCATTTATTTTAAGAGAAGCAAAGCACATGCTCCCAGTTGACACTTACGTCTGTATTCAGATGATTAGTGACGTAGCAAATCTAATATATTCAAAACCACCTCCTCAGTCCCCCACCCCCAAATCTGCTACTTTCCCAGCTTCCCAGTTTGCTGGTTGTCCAGTGCATCTTTCCAGGTACTGAAGTTGAATGCTTTGGAGTCCTCCACCCCACACCCAATCCATTAGCAGATCTTGTCAGCTCTACGGTGACAAAAATATCTGGAGTCTGACTGTTTGTCCTCTGCTCCACTGTTGCTACCCTGTACCAGCTCCTGCCATCTCTCATTGGGGTGATCAGTCACCTCCTGACTGATTTCGATGTTTCTGCCCTGGCCACTCTGTGTCCCACAAACCCCCTGTCCCATTCTCCAGCTGGCACCCAGAATGATCTTTTTGAAACCTAAGGGATCATGTCGCTCTGCTACCATTTCATTCTGAATATGACCCCAGTCCTCACCATTGTCTCCAGGGCCCTCTTCTGATCTTGGGCCCTGGCCACTGCTCCAAACACATTTCCCACCATTCTCAGTAAACTCATCTACTCCCACCTTGTGGGTCTCCTTGCTTTACTCACTTTCCAAAGAAGCTCCCCCAGGGCCTTTGCACTTGCTGTTCCCCCTGCCTGTAACACCCCCCACCCCACCCCACCCCAGATACCTGCTGGCCTAGTTCCATCTTTCTTCATGTTTCTGCTCAGATGACAGTTTATCAGAGATCTCTCTAACTACTAAAGAAAAAATAGCATGTCTTCCCTCAACGTCTGTCCCTTTACCCTGCCTTTTTTTCCCTTCATAGCACTTGACACCACCTGAGAGATTATATATTGCATTATTTATTTGCTTGTTTATCTCTGCCTCACTAACCCTCACAAACCCTATGAGAGCAGGGATATTGGCAGTTTTGTTTACTGTTGTATCTGCGGCTCTTAGAATTAGCACTCAGCATATACTTGACGAAGGAATAAATGGCCAAATTAATATTTTAAAAACTAGGACTACAAAGATAAGTATATGTAAATATAATTATTTTTATAACATAAAATTCTATTGTGGAATGCTTTCAAGGAAATTCTTACATTTTTGTTTTGATGTATTTCAATGACATTAAAGCGTAGCTGAAAAAACAACCTAAATTCCCTGCATGTGTGTGTGTGTGTGTGTGTGTGTGTGTGTGTGTGTGTTGTCTGGTGGGGAAGGGAAGAGGTAGTATCCATGACTATGTTTTGATGTATTTCAATGACATTAAAGCGTAGCTGAAAAAACAACCTAAATTCCCTGCATGTGTGTGTGTGTGTGTGTGTGTGTTGTCTGGTGGGGAAGGGAAGAGGTAGTATCCATGACTTCTTGGTGGCTTTGAAATTTAGGATCCCCTTTGAAATACATGCTCTGTTGGGCTCTGGTAAGAGGTGCCGACTGACTCCATAGAAAGAGACTTTTGTGGTGATGACAGCTGATGGAAGTTTTTAGTCTCATTAGCAGTGACAGTCAGTCATATGTATGTGTTTACATTCTATCCTAGAAATTGAAAAGAACTTTATGACAACATTCATTAGGGGTAAAATGAAGAAAAAAGAAAATCTTCTTAAGTATTTAGAAATGTTATTTTTCTTCCAGATTTTGTTGATTTCTTTAAATTTGGATTAGAATTTTATATGATAGAATGTTTTATGTCCCCGAAAGACGTTTTTTGATGGTCGGTTGTCTCTCCACTGTCGAGATGGCATGTGTAGCAGCACTGTCCTGCAGTGGACAGGACCCTGAGCAGGGGGACAGGACATTGGACTTAAGTCTTACTGCTCTTACTACTTGGTCTGGGTTCTTGAGGTACTTTAACTTTATTACGCTCAGATTTTGCATCTGTAACAAGAATGGTGTAGAACAAGAAGCTTTCTAAGACATTTTATATTTCTTGAGCTAAGTGCCATAATTTTAAATAAACTCTTATTTTTTTTCCTCTTCTATGTATGAGAATGTGTT